AGACATTTCTGAAGAAGAAACGGCCCGATAGAAGTGTCGGAACGATGTACATTTTGAGTAGGCCGAGAAAATGTTCATCGGCAACATGTACACGATGTTTTGGCGCCATGTGCTTCACTGCTCGCTTCTCTCTGTCCGACAGAGCCGAAGCTATGCGTAATCAACACCGATGGAGGGATCCAATGGGATACCCACTTTGAGGTGTGGGGCGTGCTACTTCGAATTTTTTTTAGTACTTCAATGTGCTGTCTTCTTTTACATATTTCTGTGGATAATAATCTCCAAACTGTGAAGTAGAAATTAAAAAGTACGAAAAACATGGTTTTAGGAATATAGAAGCAAGATTATTAATTTTTAAATGGAGAAATAATAAAAGAAAGGCAATGAACAAAAATATTCATTTTATTTTGAATTTGTTCGAATTACAAGTATATCATGTATACAGTTACCATTTAAATTATAGCGATAATACGATCATGAATAAATAATCATTTTCAAACCGTTAAACATAAAAATGACTTCTCGCACGTTAACTGTACATTTATCTTTACACATGATTAGAACAAATCAATGCCAACCTACTTCTTCACTGGTGCCGGTTACTATGGGGTGACCACCTGCAGTGCCTTTGCTTTGTTTTCGGGCATAATTATCTTTTATATTTATCGAATAAGACATTTGTAAATATTTGTATTCAAAAATGAACAAAATAAATTAATTATATATTATTAATTAATATTTTATATATGTCTTACTCGATAATTACATTTGAGTCCCAAACAAAGCAAAGATACAGCAATTGGTCACTTTACAATATCCTGCTCCTATTTAAATCTACAACAAAGCTTTCGCAATTTCGCAATCTCTGCCAATTGTTCACTATCTTTTTTCTCTTAAGAATAAACATAACATGAAACTTAAAACGCGTTTTTCTCGATACTGCATTTTCAATATCGTTGGGCAAAATTGTGTAAATTCTCCGTAATTGACGCTCAGATTGTACACATAAATGGACAATTTGGGAAGAGGAGATACGATTATTCGAGCCTTGCGGTTCGTTTTTATAGTTGTTAACAATCGGTAACTATAAAAACGAGCCTCAAGGCTCGAATAATCGTATCTCGTCTTCCTAGATTGTCCAGCTTCGTGTGCAATCTAAGCGCGAATTAGGGAGAAGTTACTGTAATACCCACACTTACTCTAGCGTGAGAAGCGTCCAAAAAAAAAAAAAACGGTAGGACGAAATGTTTCGTTCTTGCACGGACGATTGTCCGGCCGAGGAATAGTAAAGAATCATTAGTCGACTCACCGTTTCGCGACCATGCGCGATTTATCGGAAACAAAGACGGGCCAACTTGTAAATGCGAACTCAATGTAAACCACCTCCCTTCGTCGCAGAAAGTAACAGCGTTCAGAAGACGTAGGAATTAAGATTGTCATATCAAATGTTATGTTCTAATTATATAATTATAGTTAAATATTCGAGAATTATCGGTTTTCACGGCAGATGAATAAAGGAGCAGTGATCACGTCAGGGTGGCGTCTGATTTTCTATTTTCAATATCGCATTTTTTATAACATATATACACATGATCAGCAACCTGAGAACCATAAGACTGCCGACTTTCATCGAAATCGGACAAAGTTATGAATTCAGGCCGACATTTACGAAATGATATCACTATGGGTCAAGCCTCAGTGGATTGCACTGACAGCAGTAATTGCGGTCACCATCGGGCGGATGATTAAGACTACGTCGTCGTCGATAAGTCGTGGTCGGAGGATTGCCGGGCAGTGGTCAGATCCTAGAAAGGTTACTATAATTCGTTCATTCGGCTAGGACAGCACATTACGGCCGTAATCCTTGCCGATGAGTGACGTGCTTTCTAGAAGCCGAGTGGACCGGTGGTACCTTGTCAAATTTATAGAGTTCAAGCTCAGTGATAGAGAAGCAGGAGCAACACAGAAAGAGGAAAATACGCGAGAAAATGCAGTGCCCTCGTCAAGGATTCCTCTTTGCAGTCGGTCTTCTTTCATACCTGTACAGAGGTAATTGCAACTTTATCCGTGGCCCACGAAGCGTTCAGCCAGCAACGTTGCGAGCAAGTACAGTAAATTCACGTTTTCATAGTTAACGGTTGTCAACAACCATAATAATCGTGTATCTTCTTCCCAAATTGTCCATTTTCGTGCACAATCTGTGCGCGAATTAGAGAGAATTTACTGTCATTACCGAGAGCGGGAGTCATATACCGTGAAGTCTCCCTAATTGACGCTTAGATTGTGCACAAAAATGGAGAATTTGGGAAGAGGAAATATGATTGTTTAAACTTTGCACCTCGTTTTTGTAACTGTTAACAATTGAAAACTATAAAAACGAGCCGCAAGGCTCGAACAATCGTACCACTCGTTCCCAAATTGTCCATTTTTGTTTCCAAGCTGAGGCTCAAATAGGGAGAACTTACTGTAACTCGAAATACCACTTCGTTGATTAAGGCAAGTGTAGGTATTACTGCGGTATCTCAACGAAGGCGAACTTTGACAGAGAAAATAAGATCTTCCATGCCAATAAATTGACAATTTGAATATTTACTTTTCTCGGAATATTTGATCTCCGAAAGCACAAATTTGATTAAAAAGCATAATGCAAAGAAAGCATACGTGCGCATATATTACTGCGGTTTTGTATCTATTACTGCGAACCAAATACTGCGGACATTCCGATTACATACCACGTGTCAAGGTTAACATAATCCATTTTCTTTTAAATGTACACGCACAGCTACAATTCTTAGGATCATAATATTCTCATTGCAGCACTTCACAAATTAGGTACTCTACGGATCGAGCGTGTTTACATTGGCCCATCGAGAAATGTACTGTATAGGTAAAGGTACGCAGTTCAGTAAAGCACGTGTTAGGAAATAATATTTGAGGATAGATGATAGTGATAGGGTATGTCGATTTTTTATCAAAGTAATGATTAACCCTTTGCACTCGGATGTCGCCGATACGGCGACGCAATGCGTTCGTGTCAAAGTGTGGCATCGCTTTTTAATTATTATTTTCCCTCGTACTGTATCGCGTAGAGTGCATAATGAAATACACAAAATCGTTTCGTTTGTCAGTTCCTGTACAATTTTTCTTTCAATTCGACTCTCTGTACGACGAAATCTCAATGTTTACAAAATCTGTTCCGAGTGCAGAGGGTTAATTTATCTAAAAATAAAAAACGCTAAAATAAATAGTTCATTATAAATTACTAAAATATAGATGCCTTTCGAATCAGCGTTCTCAACCGCCATTACGAGTATTTCATAATACTCGACGTTTTCATAGGCTTCCGAACGTCAAAAGTCGATAAATGAATTAAATCTACGATTGCTGTTACTTCTATGTCATAAATTACCGATATTAAGCATATAAAAAATTATGAGACTCATTTTTAGAAGATTGCGCACCATAAAATGTTACATTTGATTACTTTTATAAAATACCGCGGTATTTGCGGCGTCCGCAGTAATACCCACATTTACCCTAAGTTTGTTAGATGACCGAGACGACGATCTCCATTGAGATTCTATCATAGTAATCCTGATTCCCGGATCTATGGATCTGCTATTCCGTATCTCATTCTTCCGTGTTCCGACTTCTTAATCCCCTGAAAAGCAGCCGTTTATTTTTAAGTTTCGCTTGATTACTCCGTTACTAATCTCACTGCGTGATTTATGCGCACGTTCGTCCTATTTTTTAACGCTGTAAGTATTGCAGAGACGACGTGACACAGATTTTATTTCGAACGAGGAAGATCGTGACTTTTTTTGCACGGTCGAATAAGAATGCTCGAATGATATTTCCAAGTTTTCGGTAACATATGAGCCGTTTACTTTGAAAGTGGCATAAGTCACTTTACCGTAATGAAAAGTGGTGATTTTTTAATGTTTATACGAAATTATTTATACTGAGAAAAATATCAGTATCCCGAGATAACGAATACAAGTTAAATCTTCTCGAAAGTTAGCATCCATATTTTGAAACGTGTTAAAACGCAAACCCTTAAACATATCGACATAAAAACAAAGTGACTTATGCCACTTTCAAAATAAACGGCTCGTATNCTTCCGAACGTCAAAAGTCGATAAATGAATTAAATCTACGATTGCTGTTACTTCTATGTCATAAATTACCGATATTAAGCATATAAAAAATTATGAGACTCATTTTTAGAAGATTGCGCACCATAAAATGTTACATTTGATTACTTTTATAAAATACCGCGGTATTTGCGGCGTCCGCAGTAATACCCACATTTACCCTAAGTTTGTTAGATGACCGAGACGACGATCTCCATTGAGATTCTATCATAGTAATCCTGATTCCCGGATCTATGGATCTGCTATTCCGTATCTCATTCTTCCGTGTTCCGACTTCTTAATCCCCTGAAAAGCAGCCGTTTATTTTTAAGTTTCGCTTGATTACTCCGTTACTAATCTCACTGCGTGATTTATGCGCACGTTCGTCCTATTTTTTAACGCTGTAAGTATTGCAGAGACGACGTGACACAGATTTTATTTCGAACGAGGAAGATCGTGACTTTTTTTGCACGGTCGAATAAGAATGCTCGAATGATATTTCCAAGTTTTCGGTAACATATGAGCCGTTTACTTTGAAAGTGGCATAAGTCACTTTACCGTAATGAAAAGTGGTGATTTTTTAATGTTTATACGAAATTATTTATACTGAGAAAAATATCAGTATCCCGAGATAACGAATACAAGTTAAATCTTCTCGAAAGTTAGCATCCATATTTTGAAACGTGTTAAAACGCAAACCCTTAAACATATCGACATAAAAACAAAGTGACTTATGCCACTTTCAAAATAAACGGCTCGTATGTGCGCGACGTTGCGCATCCGTGTTCGTCTAAACAACAGTGCGAAAAGATTGAATTTATTTAATTAGAAAAAATTAAATGCATTTCTGTGGATTCTAGATGATCTCGATGAGACCACACGTTCTTCCCCCAACCTTTCCCAGCGGGCCGCTTCTTACCGCAGCTTCCTCATACGATGATACGATTTCCTGTAAATATTGCATATGTATGTGCATGTGTGAATGCCCGATTCACTCGAATTGTGAATTAAACAAAATTTGTCAATTTAAAATGGTGCGACTCCCTTGAAATTTCACGGACCGACTTGAATATTTTCTCTGATCTTAGAACGAGTAATTCAGTAGATGATCTGTAAACAAATAAACATAGGAAAGTATGCAATGCCTTGATTCTTCATCTCGAAGCTCGATGATCTGCGGGGTCGAATCATAATAAGTCCAGAGGCGACATTATAATACAGGGTTGCTAAGTCAGCCGCTACTAAAGATTCGTTCAGCAATGAGCTTGCCGTGAAATGAAGTCAGTTTATTAAATTCTAAGTAAATTCTCCCTAATCGGCGCTCGGATTGTACGCAAAAATGGACAATACGGGAAGAGGAGATATGATTAGTCGAGCCTTGCGGCTCGATTTTATAATTACCGATTATCTTAATAGTTATGGAACTGTTTCGGTTCTCCATACCAGTTTCAGCCAAAACCGATTTCAATCCCTGGTTAAAGCAGAAGCGAAGGATTAGGAATGAGAATCCGAGAATTATCTCTAGCTCAGGAATTGCTGTTCGCATCAGGACAAAAGAAATAGTGTAGTAATGTTTATTAATGATCCCTTACTGGTTTATTAATGCTTAAAATTAAACTTAAAATTACCACTTAAACCTATCACTTACATCTACTTCTTACAACTAACGCTTAGATACTCCTGTTCACTCTTTCTCTCGTTCTATCTCTGCTTTTTATTTCCCTTTCCTTGCCTCTTTATGCCCCCGCTTCGTCTCCTTAACTCTCTTCATCTACCAATATATATTCCTTTAATATATTCCTTTACCTTCCACTCCTTAACATTTACCCTCCTCCTTCTCCTTTTCCTATATCTTTCCATTCACTCTACGTTCACTCTACGCTCCGCCGCTTTCTCTTTTGTCTTTACATCTCCTCCCTCGTTCACACTTCCTCATTCATTCTCCACCCTCCTAGTCCGTTTGTTCTTTGATTCTTTCGTTATTTTACTCTCACTGTTCTCCTTTTCTCCTACACTCATCATTTTTACTACCTTCATCCCCCCACCCGCTCTTCCCTCTTCAGCACCCCAGCATCCCTTCCGCTATTTCTTTTCTCTTCTAAATATATTATAAATTTCTCTCCCGCTAGAATTCTCTTAACCGTTTCATCAATGTTTCCTTCCCCTTATTTCCCCCTATTCCTCTGTTCTTACCCCGCAAAAAGAAATATTAGCGTTCAACGATATTGCACCACATTGTCGTATCAGCGTTCGCTCTGTCTTCAAGATAATATCTCGAGAATTACGGGCTGCGATCGAACCATAGAAGCAACAATAACCTTCTGTGTTCCACAGGCACCTCTATTTAACAATAACGGCCCTTTCCAGGGTTTCGAATTCATTCCAGCCTTATTCACTCCAGAAGTGACACTGTCGCTGCGATAATGAAATAGCATTTTCTATTTTATCCAGATCCACAGACAACATTACATTATAATTCCTAGTTTCGTTAATGGCTACGATAATTTCGAAATTATCTGTTACCATTACACGAAACTCCTTCTCGTACAGCATAACGCGAAAATAACACGAATCATTTCCAGGCATCAATGAGGACACTTAAGGACCTATCCCGGACGCGGGACGTCCGGCCAAATGCATCATCATCGGTATCGTTGCGTGGATAACATGTTACGATGATTTATCTCTTCGCGTTGATTTATCATTCGTTTCTTATGTATGTTCGGTTGTAAATATTTATATTTTGAGAGTATTATTAGCTACATGGATCTGAACAGCGGCCAGCCACAGTATGATGATATTGTTCGAATAATATTTAAGCTTACTGCTATCGTTAATAACTGTTTAAACACACTGTTCATTTCAATTTATAGGTTTGGATCGAATTAAGTAAACGTGTGTGCAAACAATTATCGTCTCGGTCGAACCTCATCTATTTATTTTTCTCATAGTTGTACGGACGTAAATTCTCTCTACTTGACGCACAGATTCTACATAAAAATGGAGAAATAATAAAGGAAAAATAATGAACAAAAATATTCATTTTATTTCGAATTTGTTCGAATTACAAGTATATCATGTATACAGTTATCATTTAATACGATCATGAGTAAATAATCATTTTCAGGACGTTAAACATAAAAATGGACAATTTGAGAAAAGAAGATACCATCATTCAAACCATTATACAAGATACCATTATTGGCTCGTTTTTATAGTCGCCAATCGTAAACAATTATAAGAATAATCGTATCTACTCTTCCCGAATTGTCCATTTTTGCGCACAATCCGAGCGTCAATTAGAGAGAATTTAATTGCGACCGTATTCGTCACACGTCCACCCGTGGTCCACGAAGCGTTCGGCGAGGATCGATTCGGATTTCATTTCAGACGAGAAAGATTGAGATTTTGTATGATTGAATCAGAACATTCGAATGTGATAGTTCCAAGTTTTTTTTTTGGTAACGTGTGTGCCACGCTGCACATATCTGCGTTTGTCTAATGAACGATGTGGCAAATTGAATGTTATTTCTATTGCATTCCCATATCTCGATGAGACCACACGTTCTTCCTCAACTTTCGCCGACTTATCTCCAACATTCAACTTTTTATCTGATGGCTAGGTTTATGAGGCATAATTATAACAAGCCCAGAGATACGGGACGACACCAGTTTTTATGTTCGCGGTTCGAAAGTCAGACACTGCGAAGGATACGTTCAACAATGAACTTCCTCATCTGCCGTGAAATAAAAACAGTTCTTTTTTTACCAAAAGTAGCAGACTACTTTTCATTTTGCACCTGTTTCTGATAAACGGGAATCACTTCCTGGGATTCATAACGACACTTAAGGACCTATCCCGGATGCGGAACGTCCGGTAAATTGCAACTGTTGCGTCCAGAGACAAGGGCCATAAAAAGGTCCCACCATTGGGGAAACCCTCTCAGGCCCCAACAAGGGTCAAGGCAGACACCCCCCTCCAAGGGGCGATTCGTGCCTTGACCAATAATAAACAATCTACCTCCATCCACGGGTGCTCTTCCACGACTTTCCAGCGTTGGAAGAGCATTCTTCCACCAGCGCTCGCAGAGAGTACAACGCAAAAAATAAAGTTCTCTAAGACTACTAGAGACCCTTCCACGTCATTAATTTGCCGTAGGAAGCGCGAATCGAGCGTACAATAGTTCGGTCGCGCAACGTACGGACAAAACAGCAACATCAACCGTATCGTTGAGCAACATCATACGATGTTATATCTCTTGTATCTATTGATTGCAAATATTTATTTTTTGGCCGCGTTATAAGCTACGCGAATCTACATACTGATTATCCACGGTATAATACGACATTGTTACGGTAACATTTGAACTTACAGTTCAGGTTGATAACTGTGCGAACGTAATATTCATCTTCGATCTATAGGTTTGCATTGAACTAAGCAAACGTGTCTATAAACAATATCATCGTCTCAATCGGGTCATATCTATTTATTACATTTACTAGATGCACCGTGCCAATTGATTACGTTTTGTTGTTGACCAAATATGTTTCTTTCTATTCTTCCCAGACACGGCAGCTATGAAACCGAATATATCATCGACAACTGATCAGATTATCATAAAAGAAGGCGATCCTCTGCGGCTACAATGCTCCGGCAACTCAGGCATTTTCTTCACGTATCCCACTGATCTACCATGCGATGTAAGTAAAGAAGCAATAACGTAATATAATATCGCAGGGTAACATTTTAGTAACGTATGCTTATCAAACAGTCTTATACAATCATTTATTACACATCATACTACGAAATAAACAAAATCCAAGACGAATATGGCACCTACTGGTACGACTTTCATCGACCGAATACAGCCTTCGGGGACACTGGTTGGTACGGTTGCTCGTATCATCCTATCCTGACCACCAGACACAATTATTCCGACCCTGAAATCAGCTTGGTTTACGTCTATGTTGAATGTAAGTGTACTTCAGATGTCTGTTAACCCTTTCGCTACGGGCGGATTTTCCGCCGCGGTACTTCTGCTGAACGGCGCGCTGCGACATCACTGCACGCTACAAGACGTCGATTGTTGCGGGGGTACTGCAGCGGAGAAACCGCCCGTAGCAAAAGGGTTAATCCAAATAAAGTTAAACAAAATTGAAAGAAAAAATAAAGGCATATCTATTTATCCCTTGTTGAGAGAAAAATAAGGTGAATTATCTTTCTGCAGTAAGCACTGACTTTATTCGCTACAAACGATCGAACTTATGGAGGGCCACTATAGTGACCCGTAGTACCTCAGTCGCATTTTATGGAGGGCCACTTTAGTGGCCCGTAGTACCTCGGTGGCATCTTATGGAAGGCCGCTATAGTGGCCCGTAGTATCGAAAGGGTTAAACTGTAAAAGTTCATGCATAAATTGCACCGAATATCACAGTCGAGCTACGGAGACTTTCCAAAGTACTAATTGTAATTACTGCAGTTCGGTGGATTTTTTCAGTGATCAGGGTGCTGCGATTTAAGAGTATATACATATATAATAATGTATATAATAATAATATATATATATAATATTATTTATATATATAATTATTAAATAATTATAAAATATTAAAATATAATTTAATTATTATATATATATTATTATTTTATATATATATATATATATATATATATATAATACATATAAAAATATAATATAAGAGTATATATTATGTTTCAGCTGAAACTACTCAATTTGTGGAACATGCATCTTCACACGTTTTATTAACAACTGTACGCGAAAACATTGTCATACCGTGTAGACCAACGTCGCCAACAGCGGAGGTCAAGCTTGCTAAGTACCGCGGAGTACGTATTTGATTGCTAAACAGAATTTGTGGTATGAACTTCATGAAGCAGCGTAACGTTGAAGCTACGAAACTTTTCCATCAAATTACGCGGTCATTGCTCAGTTAGGAGTTAGAAAAAATGGTGTTTTTCACGGGAATTCTTTTTTCAAAATTTTTAAAACCTTTCTCAGCCGATGTTCCTTTATTTCAAAGACCGGTCTTTTTATTACTAATTGTATTCTTCTCTTTTTTACTTAAAAATATGCAGACATGTGTAAATTATGGCAGTTCTTCTTTTAAAAAAAAAAGAAACATACTTCGCGATGGGCAGTTTCACTGGGTCCACGTGTCTGAAATCATATACAAAAAATATTTCTTCAGTTTGCGAAAGATTTGTTGTAGATTTTGAATAGGAACAGGATATTGTGAAGTGACCAATTGCTGTGTCTTTGATTTGTTTGGGACTCAAGTAACTCTGAAATTATCGAGCAAGAGATATATTAAATATTTTTATTAACTTCTTTTGTTCATTTTTGAATACAGATTTTTACAAATGTCTTATTCGATAAATATGAAAGATAATTATGCCCGAAAACAAAGCAAAGGCACTGCAGGTGGTCACCCCATAGTAACCGGCACCACTATTCTACGTGGAATATTTGAAAAGTTTGCAAGAACGATATCAAATATGCGCGAAGAAATAGGGTGGCATTGATTTGTTTCTAATCATGTGGAAAGATAAAGTGTACAGTTAATGTGCGAGAAGTCATTTGATAAAATACATTGTGCAGTATGGTAACGATTACGTAATCCCACGGTATACTTTCGATCCAAAACTGGGAATTATTCTGCACAATTTCGAGGACGATAAATTCGGGGAGTACATATGCTACATGGTTCCTGCTCAAATGGTCTCTTATGTGATACATTTCCAGGGTGAGTATACTTATTGAACGACGATCATTTCCACGCACTATTTTTACGAAACCTTTCTCGGAATATCTTCACGCGGCAAACGCACTTTTACTCTTATTTAACAATCGTTTTGTCATTTCGATCTTAGTATTGGGTTGGCAACTAAGTAATTGCCGATTTCAGTTATAGATGTCTCTCACTCCCATTTTTATGATGTCCGTAAATGTTATATTATAAAATTATTATTATTATTATTATGTTATTTTTTATTATCCGTGAATGTTAGCAACTGGACAAATTGAATGCAGCGGTCAAGGAAAAGCGACCAGAATTGGTCGATCGTAAAGGTGTCATTTTCCAGCAGGACAATGCTAGGCCGCACACGTCTTTGTCCACTCGGCAAAAATTGATGGATATTGGTTGGGAATTGATGTTACACCCACCATATAGCTCTGATCTCGCGCCATCGGATCACCACTTATTTCGATCCCTGGACAACTCCCTTCGTGGTAAAACTTTTAATGACGATGACGCTGTAAAATCTCACTTAACTCAGTTTTTGGCCGAAAAGGATCAGACTTTCTACGAGCGTGGAATTTTCAAGTTGTCAGAGAGATGGCAAAAGGTCGTCGAACAAAATGGAAAATACATTACAGATTAAACTTCGTTCCAAGTAAAAAAGAAATTTTTATTTCATTGAACAAATCGGCAATTACTTGGTTGCCAACCCAATAAAATTAAGAGAGAAAGAAAATAGCATTATTCATCTAACAAGGAAATTGAAATAGCAGGAATTGCTATATTAACGGAGGCTACTGAATATTTGAAGTACAGTAACTTCTTCCAGAAATGTTCGGAGGTCGGAACTGAAACCGGCAGATCTGAGGGTACCAAGTCGCGATTCTTTGGCCCTCGCGGCTCATTTTTATAAAAGCTCGGGGCAGTCAGAGAAATAAGACAGCGGCCAATATGGTGTTCTATATTTATATGAATACGGTAGTTTCTCTCTAATTCGCGCTCAGATTGCGCACATAAATGGACAATTTATGGAAGGAGGCGATACGAGCCATGCTTCTCGTTTTTACAGTTGTTGAGAATCGGTAACTATAAAAACAAGCTTCAAGGCTTGAATAATCGTGTCTCCTATTTCCAAATTGTCCACTCTTGTGCGCAATCTGAGCGCAAATTAGGGAGAAATTACTATTCCTTGTTCTAAACAAACAATTTTGTATTGTTTTCCGGGAATTCGCATCGCGTGCCGCATCGCACGCTTGACCGAATATAGAGAAATTCACAGCAACCCGAAATTTGGCATTTCCGGGAGAAATTACTGTACGCTTTTCTAACGACAAATCTGGAAAACGTTCGTTTTCCGCGAAGATTCACAGGCTGTTAACAACCTACGACTTTGTTCATTTAGAGGAGAATAGAATGCCCGAGCCAAGAATTGTGAATAATACTTTGGTGCACGTAATAATGGACGAAACTTTATACTTGAAATGTACCATAACTATTCGGAGGGACCAAGAACACTACGATGGATCTTGGATTCCGAAGCAACTGGTATCCACCTTCGCATACAAGTTTCATTGCGCCATCCACACCCGACCGAGTTGAATTCGACAGAGTAATTTGATATTTTCAGAGCGACACCGCGGTCACTACCTGGGAGCATAGACGGACTATTCGAGATGGTATCACTGAGATTATGGCTTTTTTGGAGATCACAGGTGTGACCTACATGGACGAAGGTATTTACGTGTGCAGAGTGAAGGACGGGATATATGAGAGGTATTCCCAAACGTACGTCCAGATACATGGTATGTAGGATCATAAACGTTTCCACGTGAAACATTACCACGATAATAACCGCTTCGCTCCCTCTGACGTGCTATGTCACGATGCTGATACTGTTCATAAAACGTCACAGACGGGGTATCGCGCGACATAATGCCGCTTGTGCGATGCCACGGACTTATTAAGATGGACAATTTGGGGAGAGGGGATACGATTCTTCGAGCATCGCGACTCGTTTTTATATGTAGAAATTCGAGGCTGTCGGCGAGAAAAGGCAGCGGCCAGAATGCCGGTTTACATTAATATGAACGCATAGCAATGTTGGAATAAAAAGGATGACTTAACTTCTTTATTTCTAATTTTTTTCCACGATTCGGAGGCCACGTGACACGATTCGACGCTTGACCGAATCCGTCGACCCTTAGCATCGACGTGGCAATAAATTACATAGACGTAGAACTAGCAGGGGGAAATTCACAGCAATCCGAGATTTGGCATTTCTGGGTGGAATTATTGTATCTCGTCTGTGACCTCTTATGAACAGTATCGGTGCCGCGAAATCTAGATAACATTATCTGGTGTTTGAACTTGTGTATACAGTAGCGGACATGTACAGGGTGTCCAAGAAGGTTGGGACCTAACTTAGACTAAACGTTACTGAGGTCAAATAGATGAAAAAGGTTCACCTAAACTTATGTCCGAAAATGTTTTATTGAAGAGATATAACTTGGTGTATAACCTGCTATTACTTGGAATGGCAAAGAGAAAACAAAAAGCTCATGCTTTTCATCTCCTTTTATCTGAGCATGAAACGAAAATTTAATAAGTGCACTTCGTAGATCCCGATAAGTTATATGGGTGCTGAAAATTTCATCGAAATTGATTAACGCAAAGTCAAATGACAAGCATCAAAAGATCGTAAAAACTGCAGATTTCTCGCACTTAATGGTCGAAGGTATCCAAATTTGGGATAAAACTGCGATATTTGCGATCTTTAATTGCTCGCAGCTCCTGTCACAGCTCCTCATCCCTACTGCGATCTACAAAATGCATTTTGTAAATTTTCGTCAGTTAAACAGTTGCAAGCATCAGTTTATTGTCTTTTTCTGTTATTCCAAATAATAGCAAAATTTAGAAAAAGTATTAAAACCATTGTCCAGTAGACAATGTAAAAAGAATCAATTTGTTTAGTCCAGCTTTACAAAAGTTATATCGTTTTTCAAGTGGTCTTAAAAACATGTCCGCCTCTGTTCAGGTTGTTCCAAAATTGTTGTACAAACGAGAAATGAGAGTTACGCTGATTGGGTCGGCCTAATCTCGCCTCTCATTGGTCACAGTTTTTCGTTAATAACTCGCAAACAAAGCCGCGGATTGCATTTTCGCTAAGAAAAATGTTACTCCAAACGACCTCGGGAACCTCTCATTTCTCGCTTGTACAAAAATGTTTGGACACCCTCTATACATATACAATATAAAAACACGAGAGGATGGCGCGTTTTCATTTTATACAATTCAATTGGAATTATTGTTAAACGTTTATAGACGGGTATTGTATGTATCGTGCATAAGACAAGCATCGTTCTCCACAATTTCTGCTTTACGAGTGTTTAGAGACGATCGATCCATTCATCAAGCTAACAACTCGGGATCCAAACAGATACTATAAACGTCATATCGGTGATGAAGTGGAGTGGGTTGTTGCCATAGATGCTTATCCTTCGCCTGAACTAAAATGGTATGTCGGAACTGTTTAAAAATCATCTCATTATATTTCTAGAGAACCGCGCGTGGAAGTGAGAACAACGATTCACGTTACAACTCGCAATAGTTGAGCCGTTTATTTTGAAAGTGGCATAAGTCACTTTGTTTTTAAGTCGATATATTTAAGGGTTTGCGTTTTAACAAGTTGAAAAATATGGATGCTAACATTCGAGAAGATTTAACTTGTATTTGTTATCTCAGGATATTGATATTTTTCTCAGTATAAATAATTTCGTATAAACATTAAAAAATCACCACTTTTCATTACGGTAAAGTGACTTAAGCCACTTTCAAAATAAATAGTTTAGAAAAATGACTGACATATATTAATATTGTCCGACGTATTTTACTGAAGTGATGTTTTGAAAGGACAGTGATTTACTAAAATTGTTGAATAAATTACATATATAATAATAATTTATACCATGAACATATTTAATATAAAGGTTTGATTTAAGTATTTTTTATTTTAATATTCATAAAATACAAAAATAATTAGTACATTTTGAAACATAAGTATAAGTAATTTATATGAAAATACATCAGTTCAATTTAATTTTCGTCATCAATAGGAGTGATTAAGTCCTCGGAAATCGTGTTTTGTTTCAAATTTTTTAAATAACTGTGGTATATTGGGGGTATATAATTAAGCAAGTCCATCGTGTCTTTGTATTTTGCTGAAGAAACAGGACGAGATCCAGCGTATAACGGATCCATTTCTATTTGTGAATAACGCCTAGGTCTTACTTTCTTTGGTGACAAATCCAAAGTTAGAAATTCATCTTTTTCATCTAAAGTTAGTTTATAAAACATTTTATAGCCATCCGCTGGCGGGTCTGGAGGTAGCCGCCGCATCACTATAATATAATTTACAAAACTGCACTATTCTTTCGCACTTATAAAAATAAGTCCTGTGATCACAACTTTTTTAAAAATACTGAAAATAATTCAAAACAATACTTCACACACATTTATCACACGTTTCTATTTCTTTTACACTAAGCCCCGCAATTAATTTCCTGAGTACAGCGATTTACGCCACTTTCAAAACAAACATGTTTGTTATACCGTTAATTAGCAAAACTTCTCTCGAACAAATCTCAACTTATTGATTGCAAATTTTTTTAAACTGAAAAGATACCGTTCAATTGTAATTAGTGTTACCATTCACTCGATATTTTTGAAAAAGTGACTTATGCCACTTTCAAAATAAACGGCTCGGTTGTCCCTTCGATTACATCATTTCTCTGCAATCCCTGCTTTTTCCCCAATGGAAACTGAAGATGATCACTTTGCACAAAGATTTTCCAGTCCATTAATGATTTTTCAATGTCTCGATATCCGAAGTTTCATTTTGTAGGACGAATACACATGGCGACGAAATTACAACGAGTTCGTCGACACCTGAGGAATCTAAATTTTCCATTGATGTCACGTATGGCAAACAGATGCTGAGAATCAGTCGGTTGGATCTGAATGACATAGGGATATATTCTATCCAGGCTAAGAATCAATATAAAAACGAATCACTGAACTTTACGTTGGACGTATTAGGTACGTTATTTTCGTTGTTTAGAAACGAAACGTGACATATATTAATCGGATAGACTGTGTCGATTCTATGATTGTCCTCGAAGATGAATTTTCTGATTCCGAAATCTGATCTAATCGAAGATGCATTTTCTAGCTGAACCAAAAGTGTACATGAGCAAATCGAGCTCATACTACTTCCCTAATCAGGTGATAAAGGTGGAATGCTATGTGCGAGCGTTCCCGAAGCCGAATATCACCTGGAGTTATCGCAAGTGTCTTAATTATCCTTCTTGCGACGATGGTACCCTGAAGTACCTAACGGTACGCAATGTTTTAACACCAAATCTACCGCGAACGAATCGTGACTGATCCTACTTACACTTTACAATCTTTTCATTTTAATGTACGGTTAAATAAAGTCATTTTCCACGAACGTAAATTCATGATTTCAACAAGTTTCAACTAAAAAAATGAAACATCTATATCTATATCAATTAACTAATATTAATTGAAATCCATGTAAACTCGTATCATCGATTGCGACCAATTAAATATTAGGGGGACCGGAAAGTAATGTCGTTTCTGCGCATATTTATCTGTTTGAATTTAATGTAAACAAACGACATAACTTTCCGGCCCCCCTAATAAATCATATGACATTCGCACAGAACTCCAAGGAAAACGGAACCGTGACCGATCTGCTCTCTACAGTATGGACGACGATTGAAATGTCTGGCGAGCTTACTTGCAGGGCGTGCAACATTGTTGGCTGCGGAAATGTGACCGAGAACGTGTCTGTTTCCGGTAAGAACGGGACCAGTTTCACTCTTCACGATCACCGAGCCAGAATGCTTTTGAATTATAACTAGACTGCGGTTTTGATTCAACAATATTATAAAAGTATTAAGGGACAAAAAAAGGTTTTTGCTGAAATACTTAAGTTTACCATAATTTGTCTCGTTGAATGCTCATTACCTGTGCTGTACCAAAGTTCGCGTAATTCTTGGCTCGTGAACATTTCAAGGCTGTGATTATAGTGGATGCGTTTTCGTACGAACTAGCGTTCTGACGAATTCCATATACTACGTCACATGCAAGATGGTTTCCGCGGTTAGACATTATTTTTTCGCAGCATTCGATATGGAGGATTTTTATATCGACGTCGACGAGTTGAAATCAGACAGGGTGTCCTAAAATTATGGTATTACCGGGAAATGGGGGGTTCCTGAGGCGATTTGAAGTAACTTTTTCCTTAGCGGAAATGCAATCCGCGGCTTCGTTTACGAGTTATTAACGAAAAACAATGACCAATTAGAGGCGAGCTAATGAGCGGACCTAGGCTTCGCGCGCTCGTTGGCTAGCCCGCCTTGCTCCAGCCGAGCTCGCTTCTCATTAGTCAGTGTCTTTCGTTAATAATTCGTTAACGGTGCCTCGGAGAAAATTTTTGTAAAGGAAACAGTTGCTTCGAATGAACTCGGGAACCTCTAATTTCCCGGAAATACCATAATTTTAATATTAATAATAATGATAATAATGATAATAATAATAATAATAATAATATAATAATAATAAAAATAATATAATAATAATAATAATAATAATAATACTAATAATAATAATAAATAATAATAATAATTTTAAAACCATAATTTTTTTCATCCAAGAATGTCATAAAAGTATTAAGGGACGAAATAAGCTTTTGCTTAAATACTTCACTTTGTTATAATATGTCTCGTAGAGTGCTCATTAAGTATGCTATTGGATAGTTCGCGTAATTTCTACCTGATGGACATTTTCCTACGACCACGTGTTGCTTAGATGTTAGAATATGTTTCAAAATATTTTAGATGAAGTCGGGGAATTCGGTATCATTCGTACGATGGACCCAGTGGCAGAGGGTGACGAATGGGAGTTGATCTGCGCCGCTTCGATTCGCAATTATTTTGACAACTTTGTTTGGAGCAGCGAAAATGGTCCAATTATACAATCTGGTAATTCCATTTTCGATATGCACACGCTAAGGACGCAATTAATTTGTAAAACCAATAAAGTTCAATAAGAAATTGAAGGTATTGGAAATAATATGTTTAAACTTCTAGATAGAGTCTCAATCGACCGAGGGACCACGCAATTCGCGTATAGATCAATTTTGAAGATACACAACGTGAAAATGGAGGACTCACAGCTGTATATCTGTAGAGTGAAGTCCACGGGTTATTTGACCCGGTCTACTGGATATCGCTTGGAAGTGAAGGGTAATTGGAAATAGAAATTTCTGAAAACATTAAATGATGTATTAAATAAATGTTGATTAGTATTCTTTTCGTTTTAGTTGCATGGGCACCTATTATTATCGATACCAATTTGAAGAAAGGCGAGATAATCATTGATGTTGGTACACGAGGTAGCCAGAGACTAGATATTCACTGTTTCGCAGATGGTATGCCTAAACCGAGTATCAGTTGGTTTAAGGTAATTGTTTAGTAGTTAATATTTCTAAATCAGGACAATGTTTTCCTTTCTATATTTTATTTACTATTTCCCTAATTTACAATTTTACCATTTTTCCATTTCACCATTTCACCATTTTACCGTTTTCCCATTTTACCAATTTACCATTTTACCATTTTACCATTTTACCATTTTATCGTTTTACTATTTTATCAATTTACTATTTTACTATTTTATTTATTATTTACCTATTATTATTACTATAGTACTATTACTATAGTATAGTATACTACCTATTACTATTTTTTATTTATTATTTATTATTTTTTTTATTATTTACCAATTTACTGTTTTACCATTTTACCAATTTACCGTTTTACCATTTCACCATTATACCATTTTTAATTTTACCGTTTTACCATTTTACCGTTTCACCGTTTTACTATTTTATCAGTTTACTATTTTACTATTCTACGGCTTTACCATTTTACCATTTTACCATTTTACCATTTTACCATTTCATCATTTTACCATTTTAGCATTTCATCATTTTACCATTTTACCATTTTACCATTTCACCATATTACCANATTTTTCCATTTCACCATTTCACCATTTTACCGTTTTCCCATTTTACCAATTTACCATTTTACCATTTTACCATTTTACCATTTTATCGTTTTACTATTTTATCAATTTACTATTTTACTATTTTATTTATTATTTACCTATTATTATTACTATAGTACTATTACTATAGTATAGTATACTACCTATTACTATTTTTTATTTATTATTTATTATTTTTTTTATTATTTACCAATTTACTGTTTTACCATTTTACCAATTTACCGTTTTACCATTTCACCATTATACCATTTTTAATTTTACCGTTTTACCATTTTACCGTTTCACCGTTTTACTATTTTATCAGTTTACTATTTTACTATTCTACGGCTTTACCATTTTACCATTTTACCATTTTACCATTTTACCATTTCATCATTTTACCATTTTAGCATTTCATCATTTTACCATTTTACCATTTTACCATTTTACCATTTTACCATTTCATCATTTTACCATTTTAGCATTTCATCATTTTACCATTTTACCATTTTACCTTTTCACCATATTACCACTTTACTATTTTACTATATTCGGACATTCATTTTCTCATGCAAGTTATTGAATATCGACATACCTTTGGCAGGACGGTAGACAGTTGGTAATTAGCAATGAAAAATACAAGTTTTCCAATAGTTCCCAAAAGCTAGAATTGGAATATCCTTTGGAAATCGACAGCGGCGAGTACGTATGTCGAGCGGAGAATCGAATTGGAAAAGCAGAAGTTTCCCAACGAATAACGATAAAAGGTAATTTTCGTTGAATTGCACACTGCAGGGGCGTAGAAATAAGAGGTTTCACCGTACGCTTGTTTTAATTAACAGGACTCGGAGTTGTAAGTAACAGACCCGAAGGTCTGATCATTTTAGTTGTCACGTTGGCAGTGGTCGTTCTGATCCTGGTGATCTACGTCGCCCTTAAGGTTCGCCGCGATAAGGTAACTCCACTTTTTTGGTGTTACGCGACGTCATTCGATTGGATAACAATTTCGCCAATTTGCGCGGTGTTGCAGATAAACAGAAGGAAATTAGTGGAAGCTGCCCTTTCGCACTTCGAGGAGGGCGCTGTCGGAAGTTTGAATCCGGATTTGACAGTGGACGATCAGGCAGATCTGCTTCCTTATGATAGGCAATGGGAATTTCCCAGAGAGAAGTTGAAATTAGGTAAACTTCCATTGAAAATCGTTTCTTGACGTTCTCCGCTGGAAAGAAATTCCGTTTGTTTCTAAGTATACCGACGTATAATTTTCAAACTAAATCAGAATTAGTCCAATGAAGTTGGCGTGTTAAACCTGCTCCGTTTAAATATTATTTGAACATGCTCAAAGAGTTCGAATATTATACAAAAATATAACGACATACTCGGGAAAGGATGCATAATCGTCGTAAGTAAGAATTGACTGTATAACTTTTACGGTTGGCTCACAAAAAATTTCGTACACTCGAATGTTTTTGCCGCTTTTCCGTGTTGAAGAAAATAGCTTCCGAATTTGTGTTTGAGGTTCTATTGAGAATCGTCTGGTGACTTCTGAAAAACGAATAAAAATGTTATCGAGACAGTGTAGATTTTGCTAATAATTTCCAGTAATAATTATGTGCTAACGATTTGCAGGAAAATGTCTGGGAAGCGGCGCGTTCGGCGTTGTCTTGAAAGCAGAAGCTGTGGGCATTTGCAAAGGCGAGTCGGTTAGTACTGTAGCGGTGAAAATGGTCCGCCGTGGTTCCAATTATTTGCATATCTCTGCACTTGCCAGCGAACTCAAGATCATGGTACATCTCGGCAAACACCTGAACGTTGTCAACCTTCTTGGTGCTTGTACAAAAAATATCTTGAAACGTACGTGTTTACTACCCATTATTTTATTATATTTTTTATTTTATGTTATTATATATATATTATATATAATATATATATATATTACTTATTTATTATTATTAATTATTTTATATTTTTATATTTTATATTTTATCATTAATTATTATATTTTATTTATTTTTATTATTAATTATTTTATATTATTTATTTATTATTATTAATATATATATGTGCTGCGTACAAGCTATATACAAGCTGCGTGGTCCACCCTGTATATATATTAATATAATTATAATTAATATATATATATAATAATATACATATATAATATAATATATATATTTAATATATTAATATATATTAATTGCCATTTGACGACACATTTTCTTTATTCTTTGTTTATTATAACTACCTTAATTTTGCTTTCACAAAGTTTGTCGCTTGACGCTGTTCGTAGAACTCTACATTTCTTGCGAATTCAGGATTCCGTTTGTTTAACTTTGAATTTTCTCTACAACAATCGAAGTCAATTATAATATTGTTAGCTTGTACGCTTATCGTTTAAGTAAATTTCATGTTTATATATTTAAGTGATCTCTGTTGCTTCTCTAGATGAATTGTTAGTAATCGTAGAATTCTGCCGATTTGGAAACCTGCACAATTACTTGTTGAGACATAGAAGCAGCTTTATCAATCAGATCGACCCAACGACTGGCAAATTAGATCTCAGTATCAGCTCATTAACGAGAACTGCCAGACCCTGCAGCACTAACAGGTTCGTTCCCACAAATTTTTCCTTCAAGCTTCCATCCACTTGTTAACGCTAGATTTACGGAGCTTAAAAAAAACAGCCGTTTTATATTACATTACAAGAATAACAATAAGACATTTGTTCTGACTTTTAACAAGCGTTATTGTAACATTAACATATAAATTGAATAAGTAACTCATAAATGTATCTTTACGATATGAATAATCGTAAATTAAAAAATTAACGATCCGTCATTTTGACGTCAATTTCCGCAAATATAGTGTTAACAACGCTATGGCCAGGAATCTATCTTACGTAGTTGCAAATGAACATCCGGTGTTCAGACGAATAACACTGTCATTGTTCGATCATAAAATGTTGATGTAGGATAGTTGATGTCCTTTCCTTCCACCAAACAACGAATTGTTGCACAGTTTAGCCGATTTAAAATTATCACTCGAAATCACATTAAATGTGACTAAACACATTAATTAATCACATTAAACTTGACTAAAATTAATAGTGGCGATGCGGTATCGTTGCATGCATCAAGATGCAATTATTTGTTTTCGGTGATTAAAACACAGTGAAACTACTAGTTTATGCTACTGGTTGCGGTGCTGACACTTTCCTGTTCTCCTCTGTTTGCGTGACAGGGTAAAATCAACGGAATTGCCATCTTCTGTTAATATCAACCATAATTCGGACTCTCATTGGGTGCAGTGTCGCGCCACAGCTACAGATTCCCAGGCAGTCGATGTGTTGGCAAATGGTCCCGTAGTTAATAACGGTCCCACCCAACCTGGTTGGTCCAATTGCCGTGGAGACTACAAGGACTCCAATTTAAAACCGATTTGCACGGAGGATCTGTTGTCTTGGGCGTTCCAAGTAGCCCGTGGAATGGAATATCTCAGCCAGAGAAGGGTGAGTTTCTGCGACTTCTTCCGGCAGATAATTCTATGAGGGCAAAATTAAACAGAAAGTTTCTCTTTTCAATCGAAACATTTTTTTTTCGAAAGAAAACGAAAATGTCACATTTTTTATACTATTCACGTTTTCTTGAGCTTGGCAATTTTATATACGTACTTAGCACAAATTATCGTAAAGCCCGCAGACTATTTATACGATAATTGAACAGAGAAGTATGATTTAAAAAAAAAGAATTCAATTGGATTGAACATAAGTTTCTGAACAAATGTCTCATCTCATGTACCGTTTCTTATAAATGAATATGCAGATACTGCACGGTGACCTGGCCGCTAGAAATATCCTGCTGGCCGACGACAATGTGGTGAAGATATGCGACTTCGGTCTGGCCAAGAGCATGTACAAAGAAGAGATTTACAGAAAGAGAAGTGACTGTCCATTGCCCATTAAGTGGCTGGCCATCGAAACGATGAGAGATCGAATTTTCTCCACTCAATCGGACGTTTGGTCGTTCGGCATAGTGCTGTGGGAGTTCTTCACGCTGGCTGAGACTCCGTATCCTGGAGTGGAAACGGAGATACTGTACCAGAAGCTGATCGAGGGTTACAGAATGGAGCAGCCTGAATATGCCATCCCCGAAGTGTATGTTCGTTCAAGATTTTTTATTTCGAAACGAATCGGAACAGTTCTTTTTCAGTAATATTCGAAAACAAGTTAAAGGAAAACAGGTGAAAAGATTCCTGAGATTCTAAACATGTTGACGTTGCCCTCATTTTATTCGGCCCTTAAACCGGGACACGCACTCAAGGCACTATATTATAAATATATATATATTATAATTAATATATATATTTATTATTATTTATATTTTTTTTTATTATTATATATTATAATTGAGGCACTATATCCACTCAGCTCAAGGCACGATATTTGGGAATTCGATTCAGTGCCACTGAATTATTGACACGTGCCACACGAAGGGCTAAATTCGAAGTGGGCTCTAGATTAACATACAGGGTATCCTAAAATTATGGTACTTCCAGGAAATGAGGGCTTCCTGAGATCGTTCGAAGTAACTTTTTCCTTAGCGAAAACGCAATCCGCTGCTTTGTTTTCGAGTTATTAACGAAAAATAGTGACCAATGAGAGACGAGATCAGCTGGCGCGAGGCGGCCGAGCCAATCAACGGAACTAGACTGCGTCCAGGTACTCCGTCGAGTACCTTCACAAGGTCTTCCCTTAATCCATTAACTGCTAACATTTTTTTTTAATTTTTGACGGGAAAAAAAGTTGTGTAACAATATATGTAATTATATTCAAATTATGTCTTGTTATTCAAATATTTTACATTTTTTGAAAAGTCCCAAATGGGTATTGTGGCAGATTGCATGAATAAAAGGGAAAAAGAAAAGATTTGTTTATTGTATAAAAAACAAAAGACTGAGTAAGTAACGCATAGTTACTATAACCTATATATTACATATTTATGTATGGTATTTTTAATTGTAACATAAATACCAAACCAAAAATATCATGCTTCAAATATGATAATACCGTTGCGTTCAATTTACAGATAATTTCCAAATTTGTTTATTTTTCAAAAAGAAACGAAACACAAAATACGCACCGTCCGCTATGAACAATATCGACTGATATGTATAAAATGACATTAAATTGTCAAACGCGTTTGACTTATATATTCTTCGTGCCAAATGGTGTACGTAAAACTCCAAAATCCTGAAATGTGGATCGTGGCAGTTAATGGGTTAAGTTTATTTTAATGGGTTAATTAAGACCCGTGGATCTTATGCCAAAAGCTAATCCACAAATCCTCCCAATAGCAACTGTATCCGCATAGTTAATCGTACGTCGACCGTACGTCGACCGTTCGAATGGTGTAATTTGTGATAACTCGTGCTTTGCAATTTATCATTTCTAGGTACGACATAATGTGCCAGTGTTGGAAGGCCAAGCCTGCTCTACGCCCGAGTTTCACGGAGCTGGTCGACAGTGTAGGAAATTTGTTGGAGGATAATGTGAGGGCGGTGAGTTCGCGGAATAAGCTTCACATCAATTTATACAGAGCGACATGTTCGGATCAATGAGATTATCTTGGACTGAATAGCATACTTGAACACGTTTTCACATAATCCACCTTTTTACCGAATAATTGGAGAGCCTGAAAATGTTCAGTCATGATAATTTCGAACGAAATTTGCGTTTAATTAACACTAAACCTATCGACGCTTCGCATACACCTATTCCTACCGTGACCGGTGAAATAACCGACACTTAGCACAGCTTATATTTTTTAATAATATAGAGTGTCCCAAAGTTTTTGTACAAACGGGAAATTAGGAGGTCCTGAGATCATTTGAAGTAACTTTTTCCTCGGCGAAAATGCAATCCGTCGCTTCGTTTGCGAGTTATTAACGAAAAACGCTGACCAATGAGAGATCGCGTACGGCTGACAGCCCGCCCTCGTGACCGCATTGGCCAAAAGGGCGGAGCGCTGGCCACGCTCGCTCTCCGGTTGGTCACTGTTTTTCGTTGATAACTCGTAAACGAAGCCGCAGATTGCATTTTCGCTAAGGAAAAAGTTGCTTCAAATGACCTCGGGAATCTCTCATTTCCCGCATGAACAATAATTTTGGGACACCCTGTAGAATGGAGATAACTAATTTGAGAGTACAAAAATATAGTTTCTTTTATTCAGAAGCATATAATGTACATTTTATTCGTTTTCACCGCATGTTTTACAAATGGGCTTCTCGATTGTACATTTTTCACACGAATACTGGCCGAAAAATTCCTGGAAACCACTATTCGGCTAAGCTCACGACTGCGTTAGCTTTCGTTTGTAACGACTTTATAGTAGTTTCAGAATTGAGTCACGGAGAGAATACCACTGCAAAAAGATATAAATCGTTCAACCGGTCACGGTAGATAAGACAGACTACAAATTTTTCTCAGAAAACGTACAATAAAAGGAGAAGTGAACATTGAAACATGTATTATGCGTATATTTTAGGAAAATTCGCAAGGTTTGAAGGCGACGCGATTGCGTTGTATAAAGAAAATTCTAATGGAAATTTTGAAGACGGTCATTTGACCGGTCGTGGTGGGAATACTGTTAATTAACTCCGCGTGACTCAATTGAAAGCGTAATTGGCAATTTCAGCACTACATCGAATTAAATGCCCCATACCTCGACATGAACAGGGCTCTGCAGAAGGGTGGAAGGAACGATTACCTGACGATGACCTCTGCTCCCGACTACGTGATGCTTTCTTCGCCGACCCACGATTGCGCGAATTCCCCCGGATCTGGAATCACGACGAACTCTGGCCACTTGTGCACGAGTCCCACGAATGCTGAGGAAACGTCGCTTATGCTGAATAAGGACGAGGAAGCTCCTTATCCGGGACCCGTCAATGTTCACGAGCGGGGTGCAGATCTTGCTGAAAACAGGGGAACGGTGACGAATCAGGTGGTGCATCCGGATCGGAGTTCCGGTAACTGCAATCCTCCGAGAAAGTTGAAGCTGATAGATCCGAGTAAAAAGATCGACGAGGTCGCGGAGAAGCGAGAGCTTGGCTCGAATCCGACGGTCGAGGCGGGCTTCGCTCGGACGATCGTGAGCACTCGTGAGAATTACGTGAATATGCGTCAGCAGAAGAGCGGCATGGAGAAAGACTTGTCCGAAGGATGCGGCAATCCCAATAGCATGATCGTACGTAATTGAGAGGCGAATCGAAACGTGATCTCGAATGTTTTGAAACTTCTCCTTGCAGGAAGCAATCCAGTTGAAAGTATTTTTCGATAGTGCGAGTATATCGTTTACGGTCATTTGTGCGTTCGAATTTGTGTGATCCCTGGAGAAATGTACCTATTATGTGTATTATACAGAACAGTACATCTAGAAATATACTGGATACAGACTATAGTGTGTACAATAATTGGTACAATGTGCAATGGAGATGGTTGATTAACGCATTGGCTGCGGATTTGTGTTCCGCGGCGGATTTAAGCATGTACATAGCTGGCGAATTTAGTCGTTCAGTAGATGAGCCGTTTATTTTGAAAGTGGCATAAGTCACTTTGTTTTTAAGTCGATATATTTAAATGTTTGCGTTTTAAAAATATGGATGCTAACTTTCGAGAAGATTTACTTGTATTCGTTATCTCAGGATACTGATATTTTTCTCAGTGTAAATAATTTCGTATGAACATTAAAAAAATCATCACTTTCCATTACGGTAAAGTGACTTATTAAATTACAATGTGTGTCAATGTGTGTTAACCTTTTAGGTACGGCTGAATTCTGCGCGAGGCTATTTCTCTGGACGGCAGAGTCTGATATGTACTCTACAGAGTCTGATACTGTATATACAGGGTGTCCCAAAAATGTCTCGCAATCCGAAAGTGACGGGTTCATCAGGCCATTTGAAGCAACTTTTTCCTGTACAAAAATATTCTCCGAGGCACCGTTAACGAGTTATTAACGAAAAACAGTGACCAATGAGAGGTGAGCTCGGCTGGCGCGAGGCGATCGAGCCAATGAGCGGAACTGGGCTTCGCGCGCTGGTTGGCTGGGCCGCCTCGCGTCAGGCGTACTCGATTCTCATTGGTCAATGTTTTTTTGTTAATAACTCGTGAACGATGCCTCGGAGAAAAATTTTGTAAAGGAAAAAGTTACTTCAAATGATCTCAGAAAGCCCCCATTTCCGGATTGCGAGACATTTTTGGGACATTCCAAGAACGGTCCAGGTGGAACAGTCCGTTAAATCTTAGCACAGGCGTGGGAATAACGCGTATAGGCGTAGAAATAGCACAGAGTCAATGTAAGCAAGTCCCTGACATGGACTATTCGGGAGAATTTGCTGTACTTAAATACATAGGTTTGTTATAGTGTAAATTCTCTCCAATTGTCTTTCAGCTTGTAAACAAAAATGGACAATTTGGGAAGAGGAGATACGATTTTTCGAGCTTTGCGGCTCGTTTTTATAGTCGTTGATAATCGGCAACCATAAAAATGAGCCGCGAGGCTGGAATAATCGTATCTCCTGTTCTAAAATTCTTCATTTTTGTTTAGAAGCTGAGGGATAATTGGAGAGGATTTACTATATGTATATATTTATTTAAGGTTATCGCTAAAAGAATGTAAATGCAAACTTGATGCAAACCTTCTGCGTCACAAAAAGCAACGCTGTTCAGAAGATATTGTAACTCAGATTCTAATTATATAATTATAAAAATAATTATATATAATTATAATTTATATTTAATTATATTTATTATATTTATTTATTATATTTATTATATATATTTTATTATATTCAATTATATATAATTATATATAATTATTAAATAATTATAAAAAATATTCGAGAATTATTGATATTCACAACAAATAAATAAGGAACTGTGATTATGTCAGGGTGGCATCTGATTGTCCATTTTAAATGTTGCAAATTTTATAACATATCCAAGATCAGCAACCTGATTTGCGAATTCAGACCAACCTTTTAGGAAAGATACCACTATGCGCCAAGCTTCGATCGATTGCACTGACAAAAGTAGTTGCCGTCTGCTTCGGACGAAGTGCGAAATAAAAACGAACGATGATTAAGGCGACGTCCTCGTGGTCTGAGTCGTGGTCAGAGGATTTCCGGGGAGCGATCAGATTTTAGAAATGTTAGCATAATCCGTTCATTTAACTAGGACAACACGTTACAGTCGTAATCCGATGAGTGATGAGTGACACACTTTTAAAAGCCGTGTGTACCCTTGTGATATCGTTCCGAGCAGCCATAAACATATAAAGAATACGAATTTAGTGATTGTTAAAAAAGAAAAGAATCATGCTGTGCCGCCACCGACTGTTCCTCTTTGGTGCCGTTCTTCTCTCATACCTGTGCAGAGGTAATTGCGTCCTCATCTATCAGCCAGCGGCATAACTCGAAAGATCACTTCCTTGACCATGTTTGTTAGGTGACCGAGACGATCTCCAGTCAGATTCTGTCATAGTAGACTGTCATAGTAGAATCTATGCTGTTCGTTTGCTATTCCGCTTCATTCACACGTGCTTCGACTTCTCTTGATTCCCCGAAAAGCATTACTAATACAGTAATTTCTCCCTAATTCGCGCTCGGATTGCGCACGAAAATAGACAATTTAGGAAGAGGAGATAACTATATAATGATATATGATACTGATATAATGATAACAATCGACAACTATAAAAACGAGCTGGAAGGCTCGAATAATCGCATCTCCTCCTCCCAAATTGTCCATTTTTGTGCGCAATCTGAGCGCGAATTAGGGAGAAATTATGGTATTACAGAGCGATTTATGCGGTGAAAGTATCGCAAAGATGGCGTGACTCGGACTTTTTTTTCATACCAGGAAGATCGAAATTCTGTACGGTTGAATCAGAATTTTTGAACGATAGTGTCAAATTTCGAGTGGCATGTGGGCGATGTTGCATGTCTGTGTTCGTCTAAACAACAATATGGCAAATTGAATATTATTTCTATTGCATTTCCGTGCAATATAGCTTATCTCGACGAGACCACAACACATTATTCCCCAACTTTTGTCGATCCGCCTCTTCTTACCGCAGCTTCCTCTTATGATTATACGGTTTCCTGTAAATATTGCACATGTATTTGTCTCTCTCTCTCTCTCTCTCTCTCTCTCTCTCTCTCACTTGCGTGAATTAGACAAGTTCGTCTAATAATTCAAGCGCGGACAAGCATACAGTCGCACGGGAAGGAATTTGAACTACAGGTTGTTCAAAAAATCTCTCGCAATCTGATTATTATTATTATTGTTTATGAGTTATTAACGAAAAACAGTGACCAATGAGTGGTCCTAACCGCTCATTGGCTCGGCCGTGTCGCGCCAGCCGAGCTCTCGTCTCTCATTAGCCACGGATTGCGTTTTACGCTGAAGAAAAAGTTTCTTCAAATGACCTCAGGAGCCCCTCATTTCCCATAATTTTTGGACATCTTGTATATATCGATTGTAATTATTTGATTTTTGGGTGTGTTATTAGCTACACTGATCTGAATACTGATTGCTCACGGTATAACGACATTGTTAGGATAATGTTTAAATTTACTGACTGCGTTGATAACCGTGTAAACGTAATATTCACTTCAATCTATATTATATTATTATATTATTATTATATATTATTATATTATATATTATATATTATTATATTATTATTATATATTATTATATTATATATTATATATATTATATATTATATATTATATATTATATATTATATATTATATATTATATATTATATATTATATATTATATATTATATATTATATA